TACTTCCGTAGTGATACTGCCTCGGAAACCCAAGGAGGGGTCGCTATGAGTCGGGGCCGACTCGACGGCACATAACAACAACAACAACAGCAACTTCTCACAGTTCAAACCCACCAGCCACTCTAAAGGAAGATGGGGCAATCTACTTCTGTAGTGAAACTGCCTCAGAAACCCAAGGAGGGGTTGCTATGATTCGGATCTGACTCGATGGCAGAGAAAGACTTAGTAATGTTTCCATAAAGATTCCGAAAACCAAACTCACTGCCATTGAGTCAAGTCCAACTCCACTGGGTTTACAAGGCTACAAATTAAGCAGATTGCCCCATCTCTCTTTCACAGAGCGACTGGTAGGTTCAAACCATGGACCTTTTGGTTAGCAGCCAAATGCCTTAACCACTACACCACCAGAGCTCCTTTCCATAAGGATTATCGCCTAGAAAACCTTGTGGGGCAGCTCTAGTCTGTCACATGGGGTCTCTTATGAGTTGGAGTCAACCTAGTGACAACATTTGGGGAAACTCGGTGTAGGACATTTGTGAACTCTGTATTTGCAATTTTTCTTTTGATAAAAAAGTACTGTAACATTAAAAAAAAAAAGTGCATTGATTTATGTCCCTCCAAAATGTGTTGGGATCCTAACTTGTGGATCTAACTGTTTAGACACAGCATTTTGTTATGCTAATGAGACCCTATCACTGTAGAGTGTGTCCAAAACCTCATTTGTGAGTTTTCAGAAGCAGCACAGACAGACAAGCAACAGATACTGGGAAAGACAGAAGCCACGTGAAGAAGTTTGTATCCCCAGTGAGAGCAAGGTCAGGGGCCAGCTGCAGAATAGACCATCAATTGCTCGCATGCATGGTCTTTTCAATCACCTCATATGCATTCGAAAGCTGGACAATGAACAAGGAAGCCGGAGAATTGATGCGTTGAATTATGATGTTGGCGTGTACCATGGACTGCCAGAAGAATGAACAAACCTGTCTTGGAGGAAGTGCCACCAGAATGCTTCTTAAAAGCCAATATGGAGAGATTTTGTCTCACAGACTTTGGACGTGTTATCAAAAGGGACCAGTCCCTGGAGGACATCATGCTTAGTAAAGTAGAGGTCAGCAGAAAAGACAAAGATCCTCCAGGAGATGGGTT